TGGTCGCTTATGATTAGAAGGGTCATGTCGCTTCGCGTCTCCTGCGCACCGCGCTTCTCGGCAGTAGCCAGGAAAGCCGGAGGACCATGAGCTGAGCTCAAGCTATGGCCCTGAGCTGCTGAGATAGTAGTCTCACCCGTGAGAGAAACCACAGTGCTCGCAGGAGCGTTATTAACGGTTCCATTCGTCGCAGGGCGACAGTACGCAGGAAGTCGGCGTTGCGGCTTGAGTTTAGCAAACTCAAATCTGACATGGCGTTCTACGCATACGTTCACTTCCTTGTGGCTCCGCTGTAAGTTATACAGCAAAGAAAGTTTTCGGTGCCGCTACAACCATCGTTCAAAAGCATTTTTTTCATCCGCAGCGGCCGGGGGCGAGCACCACAGGAATATTCCGCATTGCGGGAATAGAAGCACCTCATGTTTCAGCTCGAAGTCGAGCGCGGTACCGATCCATTGGGATCTCTTGTGGTACCAAAAAGTGAGTTCGCAGAGCTATCCACTGATCAAGCTCAGCTTGTGTAGTGGACGGAAGCCCGACTATATTGACGCCTAACGACCGAGAGAGCGCGTCTTTCGCTTTAGTAGCGGGGTCCGCTGAGCGGACGCCGTGTTCTACACGAGGGTCTAAGACCGAACGTGGATACGAGCGCAGAAGAGCCGCCCTGCGAGCAGTGTCTAATTGCTTCTCCTGTGCCTCGTTGAGGCGATTGGTAATAATACCTCTTCCCCGGAAGCCAAGAGGTCGGGGAACAGACATGGGGTCAGCAAGGTTTGAGCTGAGCACACGTTGCGCCTTTGGCGCTCTTTCCCTTCCTCGTCTTCCCATACTGGGAAAGGAGTGTCCGACTCGTAGTCGACTACCCCAGAATCCTCGACGAGAAAATCCGTTGCCCGAGGCTGGCGCGGTGTGTCGCGCTCTGTTGCCAAACGCTCGGGATCTGTCTCGCGTGAAGCCACGGATGTACGGTCCGGAGATGCACCCTGTGCAGAAGTAGAAGGGCTTGGCCCGCTGGCGCCCTCGGAATTAGCTAGGCAGCCCATCAGAACTGTGAATACCCACAATTCACATTTAACTGTCGCCCCATACGAGGCTCGCGTGTCTGAGACACCGTTACTTTAGAAAGAAAAACTTTAAACATTTTCCGCTCTATGAGCACTGTGTCTACGACATGCAAAACACCGGAGGATGTAACGGGCTTACATGCACCCAGAGTGTAACGGAGTTACACGCATCCTTGTATGAAAGGGTGGGTCACACAAGATGGTGTGACCGTTTGTGTGTGGATTAAAAAAGTGGTGTGATCACTCAACGGTGTGGCTACACCGTAACAAGTAGCCACTACGTGGCAGGATTGCCAGTAGTAATGCATATCAATTAGGTTTTACTATATTAATCAGGAGAACCTTGAATTTCAGATATTGGGGCTCTGCCGCAACTAAACAATTAGTTACAGATTCAATTTTGAGTCGCTTTACCTTGGCTAAGATTTTAAGTACTCTGTAGGCAGCGGATTGCGATCCGCTGCACTCGTTCTCGTTCTTGTAAAGAACGTGAGGTCGGTGACTTTAGCTTAGCTTCATCTTAGCAAATAGCTACGGCAGCCCCGCTGCAAGCTTCGTGTCCGGGAATCGGGACTGGCGCTGGCTTCTCGTGTTCATGTATACCGGGACAAAGGTGGCGCTGAGACGACGCGGGTAACCGTCGGATGACTAATGGTCTTGCCGGATTTGAATAGTTTCCACGACGCGAGAATCTAATTTAAAAAAAGTACAAAACAAAAATCATTTCAAATTTACCCAAAAAAGGGTGACGGATATGAGTTTGCCTTCGCGTTGGCAACCTGCTCGTGCTTCTAGCTGTAAGTCATGCTTGTGCGTGCCATTATGCGAATGAAAGCGACTTGCATTATCAAATCATGTTCTTGGAACTGCGATTCGGAACATCCACGCATTGCTCTCATGACCATGCGCTCGTATATCGTCCAGCCGTTTTGTTTTACATGGATTTTGCATGATGAATTTTTGATATGGGTGTCCTGTGTCTCTTCTATAGAATTTGCTATTATATGGTGGGTCTTTCTATCGTAAGCAGACTGTATTCATATTGGAATTTTCTTCGATACCTCTAAGCCTTTTTTAATTCGAGGGACTGGCGGTAGTGTGGTGTCAACGTGAACCGTAACGCGGTACATAACTCGTCGTCAAATTCGCTGGCATTTTACCGCAGAATTTTGAATTTTGGTATCTCTATCAGATCAGCAAAAGGTAAGTGTAACGGTTACATATCCTGTCATAGTGCACAAAAGCATTACTCTTCCTTTAAACTCCTAAGTTATGGTAACAATTTATTGTTACACACTATAAGACGCATTCGACTTACTCCTTCCTTTTGTGTCTTCGTGAGGGAGAAAAGCTCCCGCTATTTTCACATCCACAGAGAATAAAGGCGCACGTACAAGCAATGATACGCAAATCGCCTAAGGCAAGGTTCATAAAAGAGCCTGTTATCTGAACCCCATGATGTATAATTTTTTGCACCACTTCACTCCCTTTTTTGGTTCTTACATTCATACTCAAGTGTGCAGAATGCGAAGCACCGCACAAATACCTTACTCCAAAAAAAGGAAGATAGCAGAAGCTATTGACTTTGAGCGTGCCACATCATCTGATAGTGGGGACGTCAAAATTCTTTAAGGAAAAATAACGTCGCATAGGGTCAGACTCAGCTACCGTCTATACTAAATAGCGAATGTGATTGTATATATACTTTGTTTTTAGCATATTAGATTTCGGATGCATTCATTGTATACTAAGTAACAAACTAACAACCATGTGTAGTTGTAAAAACACATTTCTTCGCTTTAACATATCGCCGCAAGTTGGTAGAGGGCTTAGTCGTCATACCGTTTCCATCTGATCCGGCCAAATGACGTCAGTCGCTGAAGCTCGAGGGAATATCAAGGTGAAAGCGGTTCGTTATAAAATTGTCAGTGACAGTCCATTAACTCGATATCGTCCTACAAATCTTGGCTGGACCCTATTTTGGTGGTCTAGTTTGCAATTGAATCGGCTGGTGAAAGGCATGGCGTGCTTGTGTCAAAGTCTCTGGACTTCAACAATTTAGTCACCACCTGTCTCGCTGAAATCATTTGGCGTGCAATTTCGACAAGACTCTCTGAACGTAAAGACGGTCGATCCTTGGTGGTACACCTCTCTCTTCCTCATTTTACATTTCAAGTTCCATGTTGCACCAGAGTCAAGATGAGAGCATGCTTCCAGGCTGCAACCTACAGTTGATGGCTAACAATGATACGGAGGATCAGGACATGCCATCCCGTTGCTCGGATGACTCGTTGACGCAAATTGATCCATCATTTGTGGACTTTAAAGTCAAAGGCGTTGATCATCAGACAAGAGATTGGCATGAAACAAAGTTGGATAGGTTGTCCGCTTCTAATTGCTTCGATTATGTCATGATGACCAACCTAGATGTAGAAATCGATTCAAAACTTACAAAGAAGACCGATCGTCGTATGACTGCACGATCATCGATCGCCACGGACGTTTCTTCGACAACAGGTGATGACGCTCAATTTTCGATTGACGAGGACGAGCTCGACCTGCAGTTGTTTCATGACATTGCCGATAACATCATTGGTCGTAACGTTCCGTTTGAAACACCTTTTGGGACCAAAGCTCAGTGCTATGCTGACTTCACAGCGAGTGGTAAGGCCATTGAAAGCATTGAAACTTTCATACGAAACGAAGTTATGCCAACTTATGGCAACACTCACACAACCACGTCAGTTACTGGTCTTCAAACCACTTCGTTTCGAGAAGAATCCCGTCAGATCATCGGCAACGCTGTGCACGCGCGTCTGCACGGCACTGGGGATCATGATGTTGTCATCTTCACTGGTCAAGGATGTACGAGTGCGATTCACAAGTTTATAGCTGCGCTCGGTCTCAATACAATGCGACGCTATCATCGTCCATACAAACGCCCAGTCATCTTCACGTGCCCATTCTCTCATCACTCGAA